TTAAAAAATTATAAAATATACTATGTAATATTGAAATACATAAAATTGCAGTATTTGCTGTCGCCTTTAAAATGCCGTTCAATTATTTCAAATTCATCAAACAGTTCTTGAAATACTAAACTTTAAAAGCGTGACACGAGGACATTTATATTTCTTTTTTTTTATTCAATGCTGTCAATCGATACATATAATAATAATATATACTTTATAGTCATTTTCAAGCTCTTTGCGTGTACTTTCTTTTCCCCGCTACTCGATCGCGATATTTTTTTTTCGTAAAAAAAGTAAGCGTGATACGAGGACATAAGAAAAGGTACGTTTTTTTACGATCTTATTTAAGTGTATTTTTTCACCTAACATACAACTTATCATACCAATAACCCCTTCAATTGATAGAAAATAAACAAATGATAATATTTGAAATCATTTAGCATTGAATTTTTGACTTCTTAAATATTTATACCATAAAATGTTGAAAGCGTGACACGAGGACAAAAAAAAAACATAACTTTAAGCTTAATTTTGAACACTATTTATTAAGTTATTGCATTTCTGCACCCCACCATTCGATTCCTTGTTGTAAGACCTTCAAAAATCATTGTAGTAGATTTTTGATAAATATTTATTTGAATACATTTTTCTTTGAAAAACAAATACTTCTGCGCCCACGACGCGTGACACGAGGACATTTTTACTTGTTTTTCGGTCATGCAGACCAAAATTAGTGTTTTAAATAATGTTTTAGTATCTGAACAAGTTGTTTAGGGTTGTTGTTAACGAACTATATCAAGTAGACATGTGGATATAGTTTCCATAAAAAACTTAGGGCCCAAAAACATGTATTTACAATTTTTTGAATTTCACCCATATACAGATAGTTATAATTGAATCATTTTTTGTTTGAGATTCGAAATATGCTTTTGCACGTATTGTCCAGACGTTTCAACTTCATGTCCGGACAATACTTCGTTATGCACGTACATTAAGAGTATAACGGGGTTTTAATTTATCTTAGGCGTTCCGCTATATAAAATATGGGAGGAAAATAAGATGAATAATTAGAGCTCGATGCGGGCCTCATTGGAGGCTGTCCGAAGCCTTGCCCGGTAGCAGCAGCTATGCCGTCAATGCACGTGTCCTGTGCAAGCCCGCGGAGAGCGTCGTACGGCTCCGCACTCCTTCGTTTGCAAGTAGATTTAGGCATGAGAAGGAATGTAACGCGTGAGGAGAATTGAGCAAAGAGCTCAATGAAACCGAACGTAGTTTGAATAGGGTGGAATAGATTTAATAGAAAAGTAACAAAGAAGCAAAGCGCAGCGTAAGCGAGAGAGATAGCGGTGAAAGGCTAGAGAGAGACACGCTATCGAAATGGTTTTTACAAGGACGTCTCGGCCTCAGCCCTGGAGACGACAAAGTTAGCCTCATCCGTGGCTCGCTTCGATTCTAGCTAGTGCCTGCACGTATGTCCAAGAACTTATCGGCGAAAAGCCCGCACCAAAGTCACTACACACGTCACTTAAACGACCCAAGTTAACACGTTCGATCACGAAAACGCAGATGAATCGCTCGATACAAAAAAAAAGTCGCAGACGCGAAGCGAAGGAATTAACGCGATCGGTGAGTTTGGCATCAGCTCGAATGGTGTTGCGGAAGTGCTCACTCTCCTCCCTTTCTCGTGCTCGCGCGTCACGGCAGCTCTCTCAAAGTCTCTCTCTAACTCGCCATCTATTAGCTCTCTCTTCCACTTACCTTTGGCTGCAATACATAGAAAAATAGCATAAATAATGTAATATATCATATATAATATATATGGGAAGAGAAATATAAAGAAGGATTGGCCACTCGTTATGAGAGAGTTTCTGGATATTCCATGTAATATCCGGATATTATATACAAAAGTATATTTCGAATCTCAATGGAAAAATGATTTAATAATATATATCTATATGTATGCGTATATAACGAGATATTGTTTTTAAATAATGCTGTAATGCTCAGATATTACGGGCAAAATTATAATTTTAAACTCCAACGAAATAGACAATAATAAATATCAGTATATGTGTGTACATAACTTAGTAATGTCCGGATATTATCTTCTTATGTCTGGATATAACTTACGTCCAGTACTTCCGCCAATAAAATCTTAGTTTTCATTCATTTTACCATTGACAGAGATACCCAGACAATATAGATTTATTAAATATTGGACACATGTTAAACTTTTATCTAAGAAAATAAAAAAATATTGTTAAAAAAATAGGTTACAACATAGTCATGACCAACATTACATTCTTAAGTGCGTACATAACTCAGTAATATCCGGACTTCGCCAATATAAACATCCTAGCACACATGCACGCTCGGAGTTAGTATATTACTCAAACATAAACATACGATCACTTTCGAAAAATTCCTTCCGAATTTGCGGAATTCATTGTAGCTACGCAGTTTAAACGAATATTAATAAATCGAAATTTTCAATATCCTAAAACATTAGGACACCAAATGTAACGGAGTTTTCACTCCTCGTGTACAAAAAAACAAAATAAAGAGGGTATCGAGAGGAATATGTAATGATGTGGAGCTGCTCATGGTAGGCTTCTTGCGAACTCTGTGAAGTTCGATCCAATCGTTCAAAATGCGATGCGTGTACGTCCATGCTGGCCCGTGGAGAGCATCGTGGAGCAATGCTAGCGTAGCTAAAAAATACGAATATCAAACGAGAGTATGCGAACGGAAAGGGATAGAATCAGGCGCAAAATAAAAGAAGAGAAGATAGAAAATCAGATGTTTATAAAAAAAGAAAATGTTATAAATTGTCACAGGTTAGCAAGTGCAGAGAGAAACTTCCGTGCAGAAAAGAGAGAGAGAGAGAGAGCAAGCGAGAGAAATGTCTAAGAAACAGGTACTTACAGTAATATCGGCGATACAATCAGATAAAATTACGATGAACAATATAGCCGACTGTATGTCTTGTGGCTTTTAATGGCGTGTAAAAGAGTGCCAAGAGAATATATATATCTTTGCCAATAACAATAGTTACTAACGGAAACTGTGATTATTAGTAATTAATAACTGTGCACTCTCCACAACTTTAATTTGAAGCGTATAATTCGGGTACAATAGTTGATTCGAGGGCTAGCTATTATGAAGCGTCTTCGATAAAGGTTAGCTAGTAATTGGTCTTTTTTGTTGCACGATCTGCCGATACCGCTCTGCTATTTTCAAAATTATTATCTGCTGTCATACATGTGCACGGATCTTTCTCGCGATCCAACCTCGCGTAAATATTATTGCTTAGTAGCTTTCTCTCTCGTACTTACCTTGTTGCAGATACAAAAGAAATAAATGTAATTACAAATGAATATATAAATTTATAAAGCATGCTACATATATAACTCGTTATATGTTTTCCACGCGATAAATTAACGACATGTTTCTGTTTTTGCAGATTATTATCTACACTAGTTATTCATGAATTGAATTTATTGCTGACATAAATTTTATAGTTCTAGATGTATATTACAAATATTTTAAAATATATGAGAATTCAGAGTTTCGTGTTTTTTAGCATCAACCAATCACAACGTTGGAAATCGACAATTTATCTCTTCTTAAAGATAGAATTATCGATTGAGTAATTTAATGAAAAATATGTAAAACAATTGATGGACATTGAAAAAAGAATAAGGCGCTTGTTAATTTGGCAATTTAACCTCAAAATAATACAATCAAGTAAAATTATTATTTTATGAAAATAACGGCACGAAATCAGTCAAAATTATTAAGAGCAACTAACAATTCGATTTATTTAGAAAAATAAAAATTGGAAACCAACATAGCCCGCTATCTTACTTATAACAACACCGACAGGCTGCTACGTCATAAAATTTGAAATAATTATTGAAATCAAGTATGAAAGTATATGAATAATATAATTATTTACTAGTTAATATCGACTGATGTGCATTTGACATCAGAATTATTTTTAGTAGAGACATTTTAACTTTTCTTATAATGGTTTTGATTTTATTAAAATTTCAGATTACATATTAATTAGATAAATAAGAAATACACCCGAGAAGCGCTCTTGATGAAATTAGTATACTAGTATATCACAAGCAATCAATATGTTACTGATCGTTCATGAACGTTTTATGATTTATACTTGCCTTATATTTTGATTAACATAAGCTAAGATTATGTATGCTTGCGATCACTTATATAACTTCATTCCCGAGTATTATCCGCGCTTACTCCATCCAGCAATACATCAACATATTCTCCATTAGCCAAAAATTATTTATAATATGCGATTCTATTTTGAAAGTACATCCAACACAAAGAGTAAAGACATCTTTTAATCTCATTATACAATTAATTTCGTCAATATTACTATTATTGTCAATATTTAGTATTATGTTGAATGTTGAAGCTTATAGTGACAGTTTTATTTGAAAATTTAGCATTGGCGGTTTTATCAAAATAATTAACTTAAATCGAAGATGATCAAATTTAATATTTAACTTCTCATAAACATTTAAATGAAAGAAAAGTTCATAATATAAATGGCTTACAAGAAAACTACAATAAACACAACTTCTTAGAAATTACTCAAAATGTAGCTGCTGTTTTCCACGATGAATACGGCATATATGTCATTCTAATATATATGTATTAAAAAATACTATTTTATGTAATAATCTATATACCTTTTTTAATACAAGTTTGAAAAAATCGGTAAATCCTAAAGAACTAAACGTCGCATAAAAATTTTTTTAATTTTCTTTTGTTCCATTTAAAAATTCTTTTCATTGTCTGCTGACGATAAGTCAGTTATCTGCGACAACTTTTTAACATTTACAACTGGGAGTACCATTTAATTCAGTTGACTTGAGAACATCAATATTGAATATTATTATTTAGGCTCAATGAAATTAATTAATGTATAATTTACCCATAACAAAACGAACAGATAAAATGTAATTTTTAGTTACCTGGTACAAGCTTTGGTTCCAAAACTAAATTCTTGGCTACATGAAGAGCATCTTGTATATTTCTTTCTGATTCGTTTAAAATATCTTTACTAGCTCCTCTTAAAACTATGGTACAAGCTTTAGGATCTTGACAGTCGACGATAAAACAAAAATAATCATCACCAATTTTTTTTACTTCGAAAATTCCAGCACCAGTGCCTACATGACTTTCTTGTAACTCTTCTGTTCGGTTAACAATCGTTGCATGACAAGCTCTAGCAATTCTGTTATTATCACTTTTTCTAACTCTACGTACAGCTGAAATTCCTGCTTTGAGTAAATAGTGTTGCGCTAAATCTGAAATGCCTTTTTCTGTAAAAAGAACATCAGGCTTGACAGATATTATATCTTCACATATTTTCTTTACATATTCTTCTTCTAACTCTAGCATTCTGGTGAAATCAGTTTCTTTCAACAATTCTAAATTCGTCTGTGATTCTCCTTTCTTATATTCTAGTGCACAATCTAGCAAAACAATACGAGGTTTTTTAATAAAACGTTTCATTTTTGGATGAGTTACATCTTTATTTAACATAACACCTTTTAATACAGAACTATCCTCTATTGCTCCTCCAGGCAATTTTTCGATCTGAAAAATATGTACAAACATGTAAATATATCTGTATGATCAAAGAAAAATCTTTCAGATATTAAAATTCATATAAAATATAAATTTTATAAAAAATTTATATAGGTATTGAGTTCTTTTTCCGATTTATAACATTTATATTTTACAAAAAATGTCCGTATAATTTAATTTTTATGCATTAGTTGCATCTGAGTTAAAAAGATGTTACTTATTTATTATCTACAATTTGTAATCAAATACATAGGTGGAACTGTAGTACACTGCGTTATAACGATTCCTGAGTTGTTCAGAACAGGGAAGAAAATGATAACGTAATTAATGAAAGATGCAACGGTAGTCGATTCGATTAATCTATCCGTTCGCGATTCGGTACACTCGCGATATTAGTTCGAACGACTAAGAGAGATTAGTTCGTTTATTACGCCAATGAGGTGGAACCCCGTCTGGCAAAGAGAGAGAGAGAGAGTGAGAGAGGGCGCGCGAGTTTCAAAATAGTCAGTTAAGCCTCAGTTGTTACTTGTGTAGTATCGTCAATTATTTTACCCAGTGTTTCGCCGTTTTTACAAAGTTTTCCTGGGATTTTTTAATACGTGTGAGTGTAACGAGGAAACTAAGCAGCAGCAGCATTACAGCAGCAGCAAGCAAAGCATCAGATTTTCAGTGAGGCAGCGCAGCTGATTAATCAGGAGGAAGCCATTGGCAGAAAAAGATTTCCCTTCAACGATTACGGCTGATCACCGTAATTGCACCGCAGGGTAGGCGCACCTCCCTTTTTATTGCGCGACAAAATACTATCGAAAGTATTTTGTCTATCGCGAGCGTTATTTTTTGTATTCGCGCCGAGCGTTAATTTTAGCGGCAAAAGTTAGAATTCACTCTCTCACTCTCTCTCTCCCCGTATTATTATTAATCCTTGTAAATCCTATTCGCGTGCGTTAGTCTTTCGGCCCGTAAAAGACTGTAGTCTATTTGAATTCGTTTCCTAATAGTTTAACAGATCTATAAAGGATTAAGTTTTAATCCGATTTCATCTAGGGGTTTAGTCGGATTAAGCATTAGATCACTCACACCTAAAATAGATCGAGTGTCACAAGTTAAGTGACTTAAGATGAGTTCAACTCGGTTGGAAAGAGGACGCTGAAACGAAAGTATCAAACGTAAAGATGAATACACGTATAACTATACGTGTTTAACGGAGTGGCGGTTAGCTATGTATTGTGGGAGTTTGTGCGTTAATAAATTCCTATTTTTACTAGCTAACCACCACGTTACAAAGAACAAAATATCATCAAGGCATTGTGTGAATCCTAATAACGGATACTTGTTTTTATAAAAGTTTCTTATATAGACACTGACATGGAATACAACAATGGAAAATTTATAAAACAAAGATTGGTTCTTGAGAAATCGTCAATTTTTGAAAAAAATTATGTATAAATAATGGTAAAAATCGATGGTGTCAGAATTGAATGTTATAACGCGCGATAAATCACTCGTTATGTCTCTCTCTCTCTCTAACAACTACTTATATATATATATACTTATGTATTCACATTTAAACCTTCTCATGTAATTATATGTATGAAGCCTGGATGTGGCCGTCGCAGCAGACTACAGCGTGCGAGGTAAGAGAGAGACGGCCGCGCGACAAGAACCGACTTAGGTTCGACAGAGTAGAGGAGAGAGAGAGTGGGGGGGACGTTGCCGCGACATTAGCTCGAGACTCGCGTTAGAGAAAGCACGTGTTCTTGCCGACTGGCTTTCAAGAAAAGAAAATCGCGACATCGCCCTTCTGCATACAGACATCTCGTTTTGGCCCAGCGGCGGTAGATAATCGAAGCCGGATTCCGAGTATAGTGTGCTGTGCATCAAGATAGTGCGCAGGACAATTCACGTGCGAACGGGGAGATTGTTTCCCAGGCAGTCGAATATTTAACAAGGCTCATCGGTGGCCCGACGCACTTTTGTAAGTACTTACTTGCGTACCTTGCCACTCTCTCGTTAGCTAATCGTTCTCTCTCTCTTTATCTCTGCATTGCTTTCCTTGTAAACTTATAAGATATATATAAATATCACCTATTTTGAGTAACCTCCTTTTTTTTTTACACCTGACTCTACAACTTCCCACGCTTTTCCGTCAGTGATTTTATTTAGGGATTAGCTGCTATGCCCACGACGCTCCTGCGGGCCTTAAGGCGTGATTAAGTTTCCGGGCACATTCTCGCGCGGTTGCTGTACACCCGTTTCGAGCCGTTTAAATAATATATAATCTCTCGCAAAATAACGCGGGCGAATCTACTCCCCGTTATAATGTATACGCGATGAAATACAATGCAAGAATTTAATATATTTCGGATCGGATTATAGACTAGTAACTAAATGCTTGCGACGAGGAAAACTTTTTTATTAGCGATTTTCCCTTCATCCATTGTTTTTTCATGTCTACGCACGCCAATTAGACCAGGCGCATGTATGTCGCGTGAGCGCAATACTGTCTCCTGGTCTGTTCGAGGTATTGATTGGCAGAGTCAGGAGTAAAGAACGGCGCGGCTTTTGACGGGCCATAAAGGTGAAGGAAGGGAAAAAGAGAATGATAGAGGTAGGAGAGAAAAAGAGAGAGATCGGGGGAAAGTAATAGAGCAAAAAAGATAGAGAGATACACAAGGAAGACTGAGTGGACTCCGTTACGCCCAGTTGCCTTGGAAGGTGTGTTATTAATAGACCACAATGTTTGTTTTTTTCCTATATTTTTGTTTGGATTGTAAATAGATCAGCGATAAACGTTTTTCATTATTTAATTTATCGACGGAATTGATTGTGTGTCCTTTCTTTCCCGGATTTTAAGTTTTCTCGCGCATAACCGTTGCAACCTGTACGCCCAACAGGTTGATTAGTAACCGGAGCATTTGTGCTTTTCTTTCCATCTGGAAATAAATTGTCATAAATAAAGTCACGAGCCAATTTTAAATTAAAAAACGATTTTCTCTTTACATGCTTTAAACTAAAAGTCCATTACCAAATACGATGCGATTATAACTGATGATAGTTATTTAATCTCCAATTAAGGCTAAAATTATTAAGGATCATAAGATTATACCCAAGGAGATCTAACAGAAGCAGGATTTCGTAAAAATGATTAAAAATTCCAACTAAAGCAGAATTATTATTCTAATTTTATTTATATGGGTTACTGAAAGAGATAGAAGAAAATATACTTGCTTAAAATATTTTTATTTCTACGTTTTATTATTTTTTCTTGGTTACAAAGCTTCTAGATTTTATAGTTTCGCACAATACGAAAGTTTGAACTGTTTGAAAGACTAAGGAAGGGACTGACTCGGGAGCAGGTCATGCGATTTTATAGCTTGAGAAAAGCTTTCTGATTCAAGATTTTTACGATAACGTAAAAATTTCTGTTTAATTAAAGCATTATTGATTGTAATGAGATACATTATAAGAGCTAAGTCCAACCGCAGAACTTGAAAAAAAAACATCCACATTGGGTTTATGTTCCGCTACTGCTGCTCTTTGCCACCTCGCGACCAACCGTATAAATTCCACTATTACATAGCCTAATCAAAACGTCTAGCCTTATCTATTTTTCCCGCAATCCCGAGAAAACGGCGTTGCAAGAGCAACACTGCGATCTGACGGCAAATGCACAAGCCAGCTGAGAGCAGCCGACGCCACAACACACACACACACCAGCCTAGCGAAATACGTATCGATGCCATTACTGGCTGCAACGATGATGCAGTCGATTTTCCGACCACACCGACAAGATACGAACAAAAGACGCGAAACCGAAGGAGTTTTTCGCGCCCGAGGTACGCCCTACACAGTTATGATCGGGGAAAATACGATGAACCGAAGATAAACCGTGGTAAAATCGCAAGTCGTCCGACTACTCACATGCGCGCACTACAACATCACGAGCGCTCCCATTGACACTAAAAAGTAATGGGAATGCCATAAGCTTTCTTATGCACACATACACACACACACACAAGACGGCGCAGACGACGAATAATGACCACTCCAGGAGGTGAAGTGGTTAGCGGCACTTGAGCACATGTGCATACTTGCGAGCAGCAGCGGCCACTTTGACTGGTACAGAGACAGCACTAGTGTAAGAGGGATAGCAGACTGACTGAATGGTGGCGTGACAATAACGATAGCTAAACGCACATTAGAGATCGAGAAATGAAAACGGAAAGAGGTGACCTCTCGTCAAAAGTAATAGAGATGCGACACTGACGAATAAAATGACCGCGCAAGTACAATAAGTTACGATTAAATTGAAATGAGTATGTATGCTGACTAATGTATGACCTGCGCATGCGTGTAGTGAGGATGAATCATTTGAATAATAAATTGTGAATCATTGCAAAACCCCATTTATGACTCATACGATAAAAACTAAATGGTATATAATTGAAATGAAAATTGTATGAAGATATGAAAAATGCGGCAGACATTACCGGTAACATGGTGTATTTAAAAAAATTTTAATCAAACGCAAAACACCTATGGATTTTACTTCTGAACATGATTGTAGGACTCTACTACAAGTGAAATCAAAATTTAAAATTTAGCCGATTTTTTTTAATTTAGTGTTTTATCCATATTTTATAGAATTTACGTTATTATACGTTTTAATGTTTAAGTAACAAGTGGTTATGGTTTTATAAATAAATAATATGATTAATTATAAACTAAAGATAATTTATTTATTCTTTTCAACTATATATATAATGAATTATACACTTTTTAAAGTAAAATAATAAAGAAATATAACTAATCGCTTATTATGACTTACATTATAAATTTAAAAACACTGTATGCTTGAAAATCTAGGAGGAAAACTTGTACATAAATCCATTGGTTGATGTTACCGGCTTAATCTCTTTCTTTACATTTTGCGCATACCAATTAGTACAGTATAGATGGTACTGATATCCATGGAATCGGCTGTGCTTTCTATCACATATATTTATTTA